GACTTTCTGATGAAAATTACAACAAATATTTCTCTTCTCAATATCTAAAAAGTATTTATTTATAATACCAATACAATCTGAAATATTTAATCATATCGTTTACAATGAGATATCCAGTATACATATAGAAAGAAAATAATTATATATTATAATTATTAAAATTATTATGTTAAATAAGTTGTATATAATCAAAACAATTCAATAAAAGTTTGAAAAAATCTACGATCAATGTAATTAATATAAATTACTCGTTTTATCATACGAGATAAAACACTTTGTTAACAAATCGCGTAAACGAAATTCCACGTTATCACCTTGATAGGTGACAGCTGCATCTAATATGCACATATTCTTCCAGGTGGCAGCAACTATTGGATATATAATCGTGAAAAAAAAACTATTAACACATGATAATAAATAATATTTATTAAACAAATATTTAGGAAAGTTAATGTCCTCCTCGTAATTTTCTCTTACATTTAAATTCAATGTTTTTTTTTTCTACAAGTGATAATAGTTTTTTTTTTTTTAAATATGCACTTTATGAACAATAAATAATTGTATAAAAATAAAAAATCATGTTAAAAATTATTTATAAATAAATACAAGACACGATCACTTAAATAGTATGTGGAAAATAATTTAATCGAAGAAAAAAAAAATATCCTTCGAGCCGGATTTGAACCAGCGACCTATGGATGTCTCTCTGTTAAATACCAACTACAGTCCACCGCTCTACCAACTGAGCTATCGAAGGAGTTATGAACTCCAAGAAATTTTACCAATGTAAGTCAAATTAAATCATTTTTATTCATTTACTATATTATATTCTGCACGAAAAAATATTCCTATATAAATAAAATTAAATAAAATCACATTATTTGTTTATATACTTTATATTCAGAAGATTTATCAAAAATAATTTAAAGTTATTATTCGAAATTGAAATGAAACATAATTACCAAAGAATCTCAAATATTTTTTTAATAATCGTCCTTGAATATAAACGACAGTAAAAGTTATATTGAATATTAAATTACGTGAACGTTCTCTTTGTCTCTCTATTGCAATAATTAAATATACGACCTTCAATTTTAAATATCTTCAAATTTGACGTTGTACTTTTTAAATATTTCATCAAATCTAATTGATTTTAAACTTGTATTTAACTATCGTATCGGATTACAACAAAATCTATATATTATCATTTATATTACGAATAAAAAAAAAAGAAAATAAATTAGAAAATTCTCGTACTATTTTAGCTATTGTTTAAAAAATAATAAATATATCTAAAAACTGTCAAATATAATTATTAATAATTAAATTTTTAAAAGTTGTTATATCATGCAATGAAAAAAACAAAAGAAACATAAATATGAAGTATAAAATTCGTCGACTAGTGTAGTGTCAAGGAAAGGATAGGTTCGTCGATTCTCGAACAGCTGATCGCGATTCGATAATTCATCGACTTTGAACAAAAACATATAATAGTATTTACAAACTTCCTATATGAAAAATTAAACAATACACACACGAGATATATTAGAATTGATCTTGAAGCAACGTCAAATTGGTATTAATTCGTTGAAATGAAAATATGAATATTATAACCTCAAAACTACTCACCGGAGATGCAGATTATTAATATGTCAATAAACTTTCGTTCCAAGGCGCTGCTCTACGTCGAACTCGCGACGATCTTCAGATTTGACAAACATGAGTAAATTCTAGGTTACGTCACCTTTGTAAAACTATTCGTTGCAACTTGATGAAATTTTGTTTACACGCACTTTTCATCGTTCTGAAAAAAAGGAACACCGCTGACACGCACTAAAAGAGACATCTATCTGGAAATTAATGTTATACCGATTGAAAACAATGTAGCGAAAAGAAGAAACAATGAAGAAGAGCACTCGGCACGTCGGTAATATACCGACAAATATTTTAAATGGAAAATGGCTTCAACAAAATTTTCACAAATAAAAGATATTCTTATAATAAGTGTGACAAAAAGAACTAACAGAAAATATCTGACATCAAACTACACTCTTCAAGGTCTCTTGAATACTAACAAATAAAACCAAATTTTGATCACGATTACTTCGCCGTCTAGCGGTAGTTTAATTAACTACAATGCCGCGAATTATTTTCAAAAAAACCTTGTAAATTAATAAATTTTTAGACAATTTAAAATACACGAAATATTTATTATTGTAAAGTCTTATTATAGATTAATTGTAAAATTAAAATATCTAAACTTATATGTGATTTATACGAACAAGAATAAATTAATTTCGTATGACCTAGATTAGTATCGAATGCTAATTATTTTTTAAATTAGGAAGATATATAAGGTAATAATTTTATTTCATTTTTACGTTCGTATTTATGAAATCACACGATTATATTCATTTTATATGATCGATATTTCGATAATCGATATAAATTAGATCTTTGATGTTAAAATGAATAATCCTAGTTAATATAACTTACATTTTTATATAAAACTTGTATATGTAATCTATCCTATTCTTTTTGAATATAGATTTATATTAATTTACTTTTTAATCAGTTACAATGGCACAACGAACTATTAAATTAAATGAATTTAAAAAAGTATCTTGATTATCAAAATATGCAATACAAAAGATATTTCAATAGAATATAACCTAAAATGTGATTAAATAATAATACAAAAGTAAAAGAATCAACGTTACAATATCCACCAATTACTTACATTTTTAAATGTAATTTTGATGAAGAAATGAACTATTGAGTAAAACAATTTAAAATACTTTTCTATGATGTCTACAAATGATTTTAAATGTGTGTCATTCTGAACAATGGAAAATACAATAGATCAAGACTTATCACAAATAGATCCATTAGTAGAACCTCTTACAACAAAGGAAATGGAATGGTTCGAGAACAATAAGCAAGTGGAATTAAATCAACGACAACCACAAACCCAATCATCTTACTGTAAATATAAAAACAATATTAATGTATACAAAATATCTTCTATGTTATTTTTCTAATAGATTTATTTTATATTATTAACTTTTATATTAGTTCAAGCTGCTAATTTTACTGAGACAACTAGCAATACGCAATGGTGGAAAAATTCTCCTATTACATCAATGGATTTAATACCAGAACATCAAGAGACGTCATCGATGACAACTTTTGCATTACTTAGTATACATTATTTTTAAATTGATATAATTAGAAAAATATTCAATAATCATTTTACATACATTTGTAATGAATTATATTTTAGGTGATCAAGTAAATATAACATCACCGCCACATGTTGCACAAGAAACAGAACGTAACAATAGAAAGCTTATAAAGTCTAAAGAATTAAAGACAGAAAAAAATAACAAAGATAATATACAACGAGTTAAACATCCAGAACGATGGAAAGTAAACATAAAAAAAAATGCAAGATTAAGAGGAGAACAATACGTCGGAGTTGGAGGTAATTATAAATAATTGATATTATAGATTACTTACTGCATACATAAAAGAATTGATAAACTTTGAATCTATAGGAAAAGTAGTACCAGCTAAAACAATAGGACCGCCATGCAATTGTCGTATGCGTTGCAGTGAAAAAGTAGATGAACAAGCACGAAAAGAATTACACAAAGTCTTTTGGAAAACATGTACATGGGAACAAAGAAAGCAATATATTGCGCTTTCTGTAAAAGAATCACCAAAACAAAGAACTCGTTGTCGTGGAAATGTTAAAGCAGAAGAACGTAGACAAGTTACATTTACATATTCTTTACTTTTAAAAGGTGAATTTATAACAGTTTGTAAATGCATGTTTCTTAGTACATTTTCGGTTTCTGAAAAATTTGTACGACATGCTATGGATAAAAAGAGATCTTCTCCTGGGGGTATTATTGGGCCTGATCAAAGAGGAAGACATACGCCAAAGACAAAGAAAAGTGAAACTGTTAAAGAAAGAGTTCGTGAACATATCAAATCATTCCCAATAGAAAGATCAATTAATCCTAAAGATGGAAATGAGAAAAGATACCTAGATTCTAGATTGAGTATAGCTGCAATGCACAAATTATACGTGTTAAAGTGTCAGGAAGAAGGTGTTCCAGAGAGTGATATTGTAAAAGAAAGTTATTATAGAGAAATGTTTAAAACAGAATTTGATTTATGTTTTAAACGTGCAAAAACAAAAGATAACAAATTTATTCCTAACATTACTAATAGTAAAACGAAAACAAGTAATTAAAATTTATATTCTTTATACAGTAGTAAAATGTTGTTTACTTCACTTCAAAAGTAATTTTTATCTTGTTATTTTTATAATAATATGATAAATGAAACAACAAATTCATTAAAAAATATCTCATACGAAAATATTTTAAGAAAAAGAAAATTGTTACAAAATTTATTTTTTTATCAATTTTACAAAAGAGTATAGTACTTCAAATACTGCCAATGTAAATAGATACGAATAATATAATAAATATAGATGCCTGCAATATGAAATAAAGTTAATATTCTACTATTAAAATAAGTAAAATGATCTATCATTTAATTTTGTTTATTTTGGCTTAACAATATTTATAAAATTATAGTATTTTTAAACAGTATTGTAAGAAAAGTATTATATATTTGTTATATAAGATGCATAAGTAACTAAATCCACTTGTTATTGAATCTAATAATCGTATATTTATTATGTATAATAAAATATCTATAGATCTACAATACATTAACAAAATAATGATAATTTGCTAGTTTTAAAAAAAAAACAAATGCTTTTGCTAATGTGATATTATGAAAACAATATATATTATTCTTCCAAAGAGATTCGTTCATTTAATATTTTAATCTTGATCAATCTTTTTTTTATTATAAAAAACATAGCAGTCTTTTTTATTTAGATTTCTCCCAACAATTGTACAAAATTATATATAATTCTATTTATTTAATATTAAAAAGTTATATAAAAGAATAGCGCAGTTAAATAATTTATATTATCTGTTATTTATTTATATAACAGATGTAATCATGAAAATGATGAATATTTCGTAAATCTGAATTTGTACAAGTTGTTCGTCAAAATAATTGTTAAAATAAATGTTATTTCTGTAAAGTTCACTTCAATGTTTTTGTTTTGATAAATGCATTACTTAATATTGCCTATGAAAAAATTATTTACAGAAACAAATGGTTCTAAAACTAACAATAAGAATCTCACTAATGTAGTCTACGTATAAATAATTCACGTACATACAAAAGAAAAATATAGAAGAGAGATCTCTAAAATCGATCCAAACGATTTCAAGAAGACAAGTAATAAAAGTTGTTTAATTGTAAGAGTTCAAAGAGTAAAATGACTTCATCACTACGAACGTAAAAACGAAGATATCCTTGAAAAAAGTTATAACAGTTTATCTATACTTCTCATTTCATAATTTTCCGATTTTACGTAGAAAATAATTAAACGCAATGACTACTTCTCTTTTTCCAAAATAGAGTTAACTTCTTTACATCGCTGAGTGGCAGATTCTACAGCACTAATAAGCGCAGCTCTTATTCCATGTTTTTCTAATTGATGAATTCCAGTTATTGTAGATCCTACAAAAACAATATATATATATAAGTGTTAAATAATTTGATATTAATGATTTTAATATTAATTAACACGATTGAAATATAATATCAATGATCGTAATTGGATTAAATTTTCAAACCTGCAGGTGAGGACACGTCATCTTTAAGCTGACCAGGATGAATGTTAGTTTCACGAACCATAGTTCCTGCACCAAGGACAGTCTGAGCCGCTAATTTATACGCTAGATTTCTCATTAATCCCATTTTTACACCACCATCAGCGAGAGCTTCAATCATCATGTATACCTGTCGCATACATTAACATATATTATATTTACCTACCTGTCTCATTATAATTCTGATGTTATGACTTACATATGCTGGACCTGATCCAGCTAGAGCAGTAACTGGATCTATCATATTCTCGGACACTTCTTCACAAAAACCAACGGAGGAAAATAATTTCTCAGCAACTTCTGCTTCTTTATCTCCTGCATTTGTACCACGACAAAATACTGTAGCACCACAACCAACGAGGGCAGGTGTATTAGGCATTACTCGTATAACTGGAGTCCCTTTTGGTAAGGCCTGTATTTATTTTCAATATTTTTATTTAATATTTACATTACTATTAATGACTTTTGTCGCTAATCGATAATATCTTTACCTTTTCTAAAGTTGAGATAGAAATACCCATGGCTATTGAAAGCAACAATTTTGAACTATCCTTTAATTCTGGTAATATCTTGGGCACTACTTGTGGTTTTACGGATAAAATTATAATATCACCATAATCTATTACAGGTGAATTAGAAAATACTGTTTTTGATCCTATATCCTACAATAACGAATTATGCGATTAAAAACTATGATTTGAAAATTGAAATAAATTCGCATTGATTTAAAGAATTTGAAAAGTTATAAATTTGTTTTAGAACTGTATCTCTATTTATATATCATATAAATAGAACAGTTAGATGTTTAACGTAAATCAAAGTGTTTATCTCAAATAAGTTTTTGATAAGAAACTCGGACATTGAGTCACGAGTAATCACTTGTAATATACATAACTGTACATTTCCACATCTTGTATATATTAAATTAATTATTTGTTCATATTATAAAAAAAAAAAAACAACAACAACAACAAATATGAAATACCTTAAAACTTTCAATACTGCTAACATCATTTGGAAGACAACTAGCGAGCATCATCTCACCTTTACTCAAACCTGTTAATACGATTATTATTATAATAATTATTAAAAGAATTAAAAAAAAAATAATAAATAATATTTACCAGCTCGTATGAAACCTTTGGCTAATGCTTGAGCCATTTTTCCTCCGCCAAGAAAACCAATTTTAAACATATTAGTATCAATATTTAACGGTACTCTCTTCTTTTTTTCTTCAATATCAGCGAGATGTTGATCGCTAACTAAGAATAAAATCCAAATTATCGGTATTAAATAAATGTACAAATTTTCATATAATTACTAATTGTTCGCAAAATATTGTAAATATTTTTATTAGAAAGAAAACTGTATTGAAAATGAAAATACGCGTTAGTCGTAAAAAGAAATTGTGTCCTAAGTGTTCGGTTTTAAATCGACAAAGAATGTGAATGAATGACGATCACCGCACGATTGCGTTATTTACAAGAAAATCTCCCTTTCCGAGTATACTTTGATTTGTTATCCGCATGCTCCCTCGACTGTCGAGATGCACTATGAATATTTTTCTTGTTTATATAATCTTCAAAGAGATAACGCACGATTATATGCGAGCTTTAATACAGCATATTTTCAACAAAGTGACACGTACTTTAGTTTGGTAATATAACATAACGTATTTCGCGGTTAATCATTGTGATTTAAATATGTTCCGACCGGCTGGACAAAATACATCACAAATGAGATGACCAATATTCTTGAAAACGTTAATCAAGCTTTATTTGACTGAAATTTCACAATATCGTACGTACTCAATATAAACCATTGATATTGTACGTAGCTATGTGTTTATAAACCATATGCACGTTGCATCGAGTTGAATAAATAGTAGAGCAATAATAGAGCGATAAGAGGGCTTTTAAAATAATCTGTGTTAATACCTACTTCTAAACCTTACGAATTAATATCAATTAAATGTTCTATATATTGTGAAATAGGTTGCTACAGTCATACTTATAATCTTTCGATAAAGAAAGTGCTCAATTACGAGATAATCTTGATAGTGAAGAAAAAGGAAAAAACAACCTTGTTTGTTTTGAGTAAGGCCATCTTTTCGATTGATCTTCATATTGTGTACTTATTTACATTTTACAATTAGTCATATTAAGATACAAAAAAAAATATATTTAAACAATATTTTGTAGGGGCTCAAGAAAAAACGATAATATTGAACGGCTGATTAAATTCTTTAATTTGCAGTCAACAATTGTGATAAGAATTTATTGAAAATATTTCATTGGTCATCAGGAAAGAAACATCACGATTTTCTTTATCGTTTAACGTTATCACAATATTTATATCTTAATCAAATTGTAAATAATTATTTCCTTGACTTACCATTTCGTACATTTTGCCGCCGTCTAAGTCGGCGCGTCAGTTTAGCGAGTTCCATCGTACGCGGTATTAAAGTCAGCCTCATTTTGATGATGGACAAAGAAACTTTATAAGATTTATTGCTAATAAAATTTGGATCGGTAGTATGTCAAAAAAATGTTACGTAATAGAAGATCTTTTGTTTATACTGATAAATTATCAAGAAATATTATTTGGTAACGTAATTCAAAGTCGTTAGCAAATCTAAAAAAGAAAACACAAAACATATTCTTAGATATAATAAATATAATGAAAAATATTTATCAGAATGGAAATATTATATAATGCGAATATTATATTTAGGGAAAAAGTTTCTTCGTATTTTGATAATAAACAAAAATACAAAAGATATTCGAAACATTTTAAAGTTTTATTACCAAAAAAATGGAAAAATACAACTCAGATAAATAAACAAATATTTGATTTTCATGGTGCATGATGCAATATCAGTATGTGTAACACAAAACAGGTTCGAGGGTTTTCGATGTGAAGATATGCCTCTATCTAGTCGATGAACAAAATATTGACAAAATTGACGAGATTATGTTTTTACTTCGAAAATGGTAAAAAATAATTGAACAAAATATAGCATAGATTTTATTTAATAAACTTTCTATAAAATGTGAACAAAAGTTTGTTTCATTTTTTCATTAAATTACGAAGAAACTTTTTCTCCAACTCAATTGTTGATCATCAAGTAAAAAGATGTGTTTATAATAATTTATACAAATTAACATATTACTTACCAATTATGTATTCAAATTACTTATCAATATTTTATATGATTTGTCTTCGGATAAAAAATGAGTGACACAATCACCGAATAATCGATCGGAATAATGCTAATTAATTAAATGGTCGAGTTAATGTTACTTTCGAGTCTACAAGAGTGTTATTTGAGCACTTATTTATATACTCATGTTACTTCACGTAAAGCTTAAAGGTGACTGCTACTAATCGGTATCTTTCTGACACGGAAAAGTACCTATGATAAAACCAATTGGAATTCAAATATAATAGTGTGTCCCCCTATTGTTAACAACGGTGTATGATACATTTACTAATCTTTTCCGGATAAGGATCATAATTGGACATAATCGAATACGGTCAATGATTTATAATCAATCATTCTGTTTTATATCATTATTTCAAATTACGATAATAGTTTTATAAATATTCCACATATATCATATTTCTGTAACAAAGATATAATTAATCATTTAAATATTAATCTTAAAAAGCTAAAAAAAGATATTTTTTTTTTTTATCTATATACATGACCATCACTAATGTAAGATTAACAGTGAAATTCTTGTATTTTTGTAAATACTTAATTACCTTTATACAAATAATCTTTATGTGGAAGATATAACGATTTGAAATTGCCCTCAATTTCCTGAAAAATGATTTGAAAATACTCGTCTTCGAAACATTTGAAAGCCGTATCTGTGATTCCAAGGAGATTTCGAATGATTGTATGGAAACTACTTGAAAACATTCCGTATTCCCGTAATTTTTATTTTAAGTGTTTATTATATAAATTTTATGTTTTGTTGCATAAGGTCTTAAATGTTGTGGTTGTGGTTGTGGTAAAAAAATAATTTGTTTTCTCATGTTTAAATGAATATAATAATTATTGCAATTCACAAATATCTCGTATTTCATTCATATTGTATATAATTCAAACTATATACATATTTATTAGCAATAAATATGTATATAGTTACCTGATAGAATAAATTTAATGACTGTTCTTCATCGATTTTAGAATCATTTATGTATATACCGCACATATATTATTTGTTGTAATATTTACAACACGAATACACTTAATTTTAAACATTTACTGATCATATTAAAGCACATGGAATAAGTCATAAATGTATTGTACAAAGGAGAAACAATATTTACAAATGTTTCAATTGCATCTTTCAACCTTTATGCGAAACTACACAATGTAAAAATGATGCAACTGTTTCAGCACGACAGTGCGCATTATCCGAGTATAGCCAAGGTTTGAACGATACTGAAAACATCCTGCAAAAGACAGAAATAGCTGTTCTATACAAATGTAAATCTAAAAGAATATTAAAACTATAATTTATATAATATTGCGAATTTCATATAATTATATAAAGTATGAACATTTAACAATTTCGTTTAAAAATCGAAATTCATTAAAACTAACGATTGCAAATCTATTATCGGTATAATCAAATTCTACTGTATCCTTCGATACAAAAAACTTATATTTATTATCGATAGTAAGTACTGACACAATAGCAGATGCAACATTATTCTGTTGTCAATAAATTTGTAAAGTGTAAAAGTATTTCTGAATTTCTCCACTAGATAGCACTACATACAAGTTTAAGGTTTACAAGATGGCGTCAGTCTAAAGTGTCACATGTTTGTGTTCGTGTTGTTTTTACTGTTTATTTTTAAATTTTGTTACAATGGCCAGTGATACTTCTTAATTTTGTATTAAAAAAAAAAATAACGTATGGCAGATAATTAGCAATGATAAAAATGTCTGATAATACAAAATTTATGTTTGATAAACCTATCCAAAGTCAATAAATAGAAAATTAGGTTTCAGGTACGTACGCACGTACAGGTTAGGATTATTACCTGTACAAGTAGGATGCGCACTATTAAACACAATCACTACCGTAACCGAAAGAACAAGAAGAACGACATATCAAAAAATCAGCTGACCTGAAATTATTGTTTTCCCGATGTTGCTAGCTCCCGTACTATTAAACATTAGATCTACCAAGGGACTGTACAAATGACTTGTTTACAATTTTTTATAATCATTATTCAATTTAATTAAATATTGAAAGCAATATATTACAAAATATTGAAACAAATAATTAAATCTTTAAAATAATTTTCTTTTTTCTTTGTTTTCTTTTTAAATGTAAAATTGCATTTAATATTGGGTCATTTCAAAATTATTATAATTTCAGAATTAATTATTATAAGTCGATATTTTTTAATTTTATTCAGTACTTACATGCGTGGAATGATTTGTATTTCTACATATGTATACATTATGAATATTAATACAGTAGTTTATAAAGTAGTATTTACAATTATCGTATCATTACATAAATACGTTTATATTATCGTTTATTTAAAAACCGTGACGAAATAGATAAAGAAAAAGATAATTATACTTATAGAATATTAAAAATGAAATAGCCTTGTTTCGCAACAAATAAAAAATATACAAGGTAATAAATGAATATACAGGGTGATACAAGCGAAAAGGTGATGGTTCTACAAGAAAAAATAAATCGAAAATAAAGAATAACAATTGTTTATTTGAGGCTTTGTTTTCGAGAAAATCGATTTTGAATTTTCGAAAAGTACAACTTTCGTTTAGGCCGCAACTATTTTTTCAATACAAAATAAGGCCCGTGACCTGACGGGAATTTTCCTACAAATTCCCGTGGCGCTCAACGTGTTATTCTATGATATTTTAAGAAAAATAACAAAATTTCAATCGAGACAATGATCTATGAGATCTATGAGATCCGTTATAACGAGACATGATTAACACGTTGAGCACCACGCGAGTTATTAGAGAAATTTCCGTCAGGCCATAGGAGTTACTTTGTATTTAAAAAATAGCTGAACGTCAGTTACCCGTGACGAAAGTGGTCTGACGACAAGTCCTACTTTGCGAAAATTCAAAGTCGATTTTCTCGAAAACAAAGTCTCAAATGAAAAATTGTTATTCTTTATTTTCGATTTATTTTTTCATGTATAATCAACCCCTTTTTCGCTTGTATCACCAGTTACAAATCACCCTGTATAATTGTCTTTATAGTGTTATTTGCTTATAAATCACCGTTAAACAGTTAATGTTATGTTAAGTTTTTTCAGATATACCAAAAGTTGTAATTGTTAATTAAAATAACAATAGAATATTTCATCTGATGATTTATATTGTTTTGAATATGTATGCGTATTTTAATATTCCTTAATGTGTTACAAATGTAAATAAACTATGTTTCAAATCGTTTTACAGTACGGTATCATCAACCATGTGTTAATAATAATAATAGAATAGAGAAAAATGTTATTCAATTAAAACAAATAAATAAATAATTATATTTGTAATTACTTTAAAACTCCATTTAATGTATTTAAGAACGTTTAAATACATTTTCTGCATACAATTTTGAATCTTCACTTCCGTGTGTTGCAAGGAAAAAGGATCACGCATGCGCATACAAAGCTTACGTCATTTAAGAATGAAAATGTACTATTTAAAAATTATGATTTAATTGTTCTCATTGTCAATTTGTTATTCATGTATTGAATAAGATATTTATCTTGGTACACTCGGTAAAATATCGAAGCATACTTAAACTTTGAACTTTATTCTTTGAACTATTCTATTTTTTACAACTATAAACGCTCCTTAAGAAATTAGTTAACTTGCCAACTCCAAAGTCTAAAGTCAGCGATCCCATCTGTACGATAATTTTACGCCCCTGTGTCGATCAGACGAACTAAAGTCTCTGGGATCACTGTCTAAAGTTAATGATTGATTGATCAGTCTTCATATTTGCAAAAAGTGGTTACATTGTTATTTGAAGCTACGCATTTCAAAGGTCTATTTAAATGTTAATTCTCAAGTTAAATCATTCTGATCAGTGTACAAAGTGGTTTTTTATTGGAATATAACGTTGTGTTTTTTTCATCATAGAGATAAAAAACAAAATTCAAAAAATCTACACATTACTTATTTTTTTCTTTCAATTCTTTTCTGTCTATAGAATATCTTAATATGTTTTACCTTTTTTTTTTTTTTAAACAAGTTTCTCTAATGCACGCAATCAAAGTACAGTTAAATAAAAAAAGCAATATGCAAAAAATATCTATATAAAGATAATCTTATCCTCTCTGATCTAGTAGTCCTCCTATAAGACGAATTACAAGTTCAAATTTGGAATTGATAAATATAAAAAAGAAAATAAGATGCCTGGTAATCTCAGTAAGTTTGTTAAATCATCATGCAAGGATTATTCACACAAATGGGTAGATTCGTGTATTTCTGCAGCGATGGGTCTTGGATTGGACTGTTTAGAAGAATCTCTCAAAATTTATTCAACTGTGTATATCGTATGTATATATTTTTTTCTTTTATACTTCTTTCATACTTAGTAACATGATTATTATTATTATCACGTTCAAAAAATAAATATTGTTTTTCCTTATATTTTTGTTGTCTATTATCATATGTTAATTATATTATATATATGTATACAACATAATACAGACAAATAATGATATAAATGCAAATACATTAGCAAAAAATATTGTTTTTCCTTATTTTTTTGTTGTCTATTTATGATATGTTAATTATATTATATATATATGTATACAACATAATATAGACAAATAATGATATAAATGCAAATACATTAACAAAAAATATTGTTTCTCTTTATTTTTTTGTTGTCTATTTGTCTAATTATTATGTTGTTTATTATGTCAAAATAAACGTCTAATAAATATCAAACATATAATTGGAGGTAATTTAATTAATTTGTAATCTATTACAGGCAAGTTTATTAATTAATCGAAGAAAGATAACGAAAGATGTCATAATACGTACAATATTAGGAATCCTTCAATCTTCAGCATTTCTTTCTATGACTGCATTTAATTTTTCCGCAAATATTTGTGCTTTAAAGTAATATTAATTAAAATAAATATTTCGAATTTAATTATTAATTAATAAGGAAGTATGTGTGTGTGTGTGTGTTTTTTTTTGTATCTTTAAATATTATGTTTCAGTCGTATTCTGGGTGGTATGCATGTTTTAACAGTATCTTTTTTACCTTCATTCTTATCTAATCTAGTTGCAATTATAATAGAAAAACCTGCTAGACGTACTCTATTATGCCTTTATGTTTCAAATATTGTAAGTATATAGTCATGTGATATTATTTTCTATTGATAAATGTAATTGTATATTAAATCTATTTTTATATTTTATTTCAGGCAACAGAGACCTTGTATAATATGGGTGTTTGGAGAGGATATTTTCCAAGAATTCCATATGGATCAGCATACATTTTTGCTGCAAGCATATCTGTATTATTGTACTTACATCGAGCTAAACGTATGGATCAAGACACTGTATACAAAATTATTAGGTAATATATAATTATATTGTTTTTAACAATTTGTCAAAAGAAAATTTATATATGTACATGTTTTTACTGTAGGTTTGTCATTGGTCCATACGAACAGTTTCAAAATAGTAACAAAAAAAGTGAACATTTAGAATCAACTACTTGCACTGAATCTTTAAACTCAAATCGAGAATGTAAACGTCATACTTATAATATTATTTTCAAATCTTTCCAAATTTACAAAGAAATAATAAATAATTTAAAAAATAAATATAAACATTGGTCTTGTCCACATCCTCATAGCTGTGCTCATTATATATTAATGGTAAAAATTTCAAATTTATTCAATATTTATGTATCAAGAAATTATCATTATCTTTCAAATCAAATATATATATATATACTCAATACTTTTTTCTATTTATAGAGTGGGACAAAATTATTTAGTTATGGATATGGTATTCAAGTAGCTATCCAATTAATTCTTCAAAGTCAACAAATTTTTAAAAGACCCAAACATATAAAAAATATATTATTTAAGAAACAATATTTAAATATTGCTACATTTCTAGGAGCATTTTCTGCACTTTATAAAGTATATATTTGTTTTTATATAACTTTTCATAATATTAAAATACTTCATGTAATTAATGTAATTAATGTAATTAATGTTTCAGTTAACTTCATGTTTACTACGAAGAACATATAACAAAGATTCACCAAAATTTGCTATTCCTGCTGGATTGATTGCCAGTATAGCATTTATTGCATTTCCAAATAATACCTTAGCTTTATACTTCATGTGGAAAGGGCTACATGTAATATTATGTCAAATAATGAACAATTTCAAAATTATATTTGAGATAATAAAATAATGATTATTTCATTTTTGTTATAGATAATCTGGAATGAAGGGGTAGAAAAAGGAATTTTTCCTGAATTTAAATGGTTTGTTATTCTTCTATATAGTTTTTCTACAGCAATACTTTTCCATGCAGCTATTTTAGAACCACAAAATTTAAGATCTTCATATTGGAAATTTTTATACAGAGTATCTGGTGGAAGGTAATTTTTCATAATTTCATTCATTTGAAATCTATTTAAATTATCATTCGTAATATATTGTAATTTAATTATTACAGGATAGCAGTAATATCACGTTCTCCTTTAGAAATTTTTGGTATGAATAGTAGTAAATATCTGAAAGAAGTATTGATACGAACTAATACCTCTAATCAACGTACATTTACATTTTAATTAGTTAAATGTAATTTAAACCAAAATCCTGTATTATATTTTTCTATATTCAATAAGTCAAGGTGGCATCAGGGTTGTTTTATCACAACATAATATATTGGTATTTTTTTAGTTGTAACTTATTAATCGTTACAAAAATACAAATGTTTTTATTGATGTTTATCAATAATTTTTTGTTTAACAATGAAATCATTATATGATGTATATCTTGAAATTAGTATATATGAAGTCATTTTATTTGATAGTATGCAAAGGTGCCTGGACTTTATATATATATATATATATACGTAGTATAATTTTGATAAGATCAAATTATTATATATATATAATTTGTAAATAAATATTAAACGCGCAAAACTTAACATTTACAAATCTAAATAATAAAAATATTTAGTTAATATAATAAAATAAGTTAAGAATACGTTGAAATATATAAAAAAAGTTTATATACAGATACAAATAAGACTGATATATGCATTTATTATTATTATTATTTTTTATTAGGAAAAGATATAATTTTCAATAAATGTGAAAAGTTTCTCTATACATAATAGATATAATTTATTCGCTAAAAATATATATACATGTATGTATAAATTTATTCATGTTTTTTTCTTGATATTTTTGCAGTCAATGGACTTTAATCATCAACATAACAATACGAAACTGAAAAACACCAACTATTTTTGCATTTTAACAATTTTTATGGCCTTATACATTATATCATCCTCTCTTTTATGTCGTTTTCTCTTCAATCTTTTCTTCGCCCTTAATACATCATCCCAATTAATTTGACTTTGCATTTTCAAATTAGTCTTATCAACAATACCAGGTATGATATCAGATTTTAACATTAGCACATTGGACTTTGTTGCTATTATTTTAATAGGTTGTAAATATTGTAAAGAGTCAATTTGCCATGGTAATATACCAATTGGACATTTTTTCCAACTGTATTTTGCTATAAAAAAAAAAAAAAAATCAAAATTTTCATGTATATTTAATGTATAAAAAGAATTATGTATATTATTTCTATTATTATATTAGATAGATAAGCGTAACATTTGATTCACTTACCATCTGTTAATTTCCATTGGGTATTACGAATTTGGTTATCTCCTAATGTTAACTTTATTAATGGTTCTTCTTTTTTTTGGAGTTCATCATTATGTTCAGAATTTATTTTATTATAATCTGCGATTGTAAATATTTTTTCATCAGTTTGACTGTCAAGTTCATCAAGTTTAATATCAAAGTCATTGTGTATATAAATTCGTATCAAGTTAAGTAAATATTTCTTTTTATATTCTTCAAGTTTTGGTATCACAAGTTGTAGAAGAGGTGATACAAATTTACAAGTAAATCTATTTGCATTAATTATAATGTCTGAGAGAAAATGAACATCAGTTAGAAAACGTGGAACTGTATTTGATATGTTTAAGAAAAGTGCATTTCTCAAATGTGGATGATTCTTATTCATTTTCTCTTCAACCCTGTGATTTAATATTTTTTGAGATAGGCTTTTTTTCTTTTGTCGTAATTTATGTTGTAAAATACAAAACATTTGTTGACTAAGAGTTAGTTTTACAAAACCCTGAGCAATAGTATTTATCCATAAAGCCGCCATATGTCTTTTATCTTCTGATTCCTGTTCATTTCTTACTAATGTAAGTAAACTTAAGATCAAAGCTTCCAACATATTAACATTTTGTAGTAAGATAATAATATCTTGCCAAAATTGTATCAAATCTATTGGTAATTGATCTTCATCATTAGTTTTCATGTCATCTTTATCAGAAAATATAGAAAAAACATCTGTAGTTAATAAAAATGCTTCACTTTCTAATAATGTATTTATAACTATTTTGTCCTTATTAGTAATTTGATTGTTTCTTCCAAGATATCTGGATATTTCAACTAGAAGAATGGCACGTGCAGCTGATAAACTGTATTTCTTTTTAATCTTAACATTCTTCAATTCTTCTACATGTTCGGTATCTTCTTCATCGTTTTTAGTCTGCTGTGTTAATTTAACAGCATACGTACGTAAATCATGTAAAGTTTCTCTATAATAACATAAAAATATATAATATTCATAAAAAAAAATCTTATTATCATTTATGATTGGTACTTACTGTAATTCCTTATCTGGTATAGAATTCACTAAAACGTAACCAGCACGAATATATAAACCGATAGCTATCCACAATTGAATTAAATCTGAAAAAGCTTCAGCGTCTTCCAATTCATTTACTTCTGTTACTTCTGCCTTTTTATTATAATATTTTTCTAGAGCTTTAGCCTCGGTGACCCAATACTCTTCCTTCAAACAAAATCCTTATTGTTCTTTCATTTCTAATCAATAATAATCATAAACAATAATAATATTATTTAAAAGAAAAACCTACATGCAACCATGTCAGCAATAAATTAGCAGCTAATCTCAAGACATCAATGGATGGTAATTCATGTCCATGAGCAGCATCATGTCTCAGATTAACTACCCATTCTGGAATATTAATTTGTTTAGCGATCTGAAACAAAGATGTTTGCTTGGTATGTCCAACGTTAGAAATATGATTAAGAAATCTCATTATGGCAGTAGAATACATTAGACACAAATCATTCTCATAATCTATAGGTAATTCAGCATTATCAATTTTAGGAGTCCATTCACGATCTCTCAGACAAACTTGAAGGATGGATAAAGTACAATCCACTCCAACTGGTATTTTTGGCATTCTAAAAATCCTCAATGTTATTTCTTTGTTTTCATAGCATTTAAGCAATTGTTAATATTTGTTTATATCTTACCTAGCCTTCCATACCAAAAGTATCTCGTATGCTTCAGTCTGTTCATTATTGTTGTTGGAATAAATTTTCTCGTATACTTTATACCATTCAGCCCTTTTAAATTATTAAAAATATTATGATACGATATATACTAATAAATTGTATAATTAATTAATTACTTACGGTGAAAACCAGGGTACTAATTTAAGGTCTTCACATCTGCCGAATATAGCCATTGTATAACACGTGCTTTAATAGTACACAAATGAAAAAGCCGGGTCTCATAAACAAAGTTTATCTTTTAATATTATTTATTTCACTTGTTAAATGATTATATATAAACAAGAAACTTCTAACAATCTATAATTATTATATATCTTTTATTTTATACTTATAACAAAAATATAAAATTTGATAGAATTATTTTCATTTCTCGTTTAAATGCATTATTGCACTTAAGGCGAATTTCTAAGCTTGAAACTTTGTAAATGAATTTAGAATGAATCTTATTGGTTGTTACGTTTACCAATGAATGTAAGTATTAATGAAGATTTTCTTTATGGAGGGTAGAGGTAAGAGTGTCCGTCGAAATGCATTCAATTAGGGTGGCGCCACAATAGCATCAGAGTAAATTTTAAAAGAAGCGCCAAATATTATTAGAGTAGGATTGGGAAATAAACAAGGAACACAAATTTTACCCATAACTGTTTTGTTATTATTCACATACTTTTTCATCAAATTAAATGATAAAAAATCAATAAACGTACTATTCACAGTTCACGAAATAAAATCACTCTAGCTACACGTTTTCTCATAATAATATAATTTTTTAAGGTTATATTTACTAAATTATTTTGTACTACGCAAGTAGTTGAAACTTTCAATAATTAACTACCTTAGTCGGCAATAATATTAAATTTTTTAACTCGGCATACTTCTCATACTACTTTGTCTACACCAGCGCCATTCTGGAAGGTTTTTGAACTGTTATTTATAGCATACGCTGGACACTTTTTCAAATTTTCTCCCATAAGAAATTTTACTCCTTACCTCTAACCTCCATAATTTTCTTTTAAATATTTGAAATAATAAAAAAATCAGAAATAAAAAAGAAATAATTTATGTAAATTTAACATTGAATCATTTAAAAATTAATCTTGATAATTTGATTGGATAGTTGTTTTCCAAATATCATCTCTTTGAAATATTTCTTTGATTTCAATTTAAATAATATTTTGACAATTTTGTTACTTGGAGAAATGATCAAAATTAATTTTAAATAATTGGGAAATTGTACAAAACACAACATAAGAAAGATCAGTGAGCTCCCAGCTGGCTTAGCTAGAACCCTCTAATGGACATACATCCAAAGCAAAACAGCCGAAAAGCAATGGCGGCCATTGACTGAGAAATTGATAATTTCAATTTGGAAAACTTTGGAAACATGTGATCTACGTGCTTCGATAAAAAAAAAACGATTAGAGGTATACCTTTGTCATCATTTGAAAATATTTTATTAAATTAGGTTTATTCCATACTTGTAACGAATTAATAAAAATATAAGTTCTAAATGTGCTGAGATAAGATTTGTTAAACAAACGCGACTTCTTCTAATAATCGTTTTTAATAATCATTTGATATATATTATTTTAAACAAATAATGAAATTAAATATAATTTTAAAGTTTAATTATACGCGTGCATTTATTATAAAAATGTTCTTAACCGTTAATAAAATAACGTGTCCAGTTATACTGCAACAAAGTTGCAAGTTGACAGATTATAAATTTGTAGGTTATAACACTTGATTTATAATATATATATATATGTATATTTATTTGTAAATGTCAAGTGATATTATAATTTTGTTATAATATTATTGAATTTGTAAGGAATATATTTTATATATTATTAGTGACATTTCTTCTTCTTTATTATTTACATTTTTAGAATCAAGTGTGCTTGTACAGCAAAAATAATAGTGAAATAAATAAAAAAACAAAAAAACAAAAAAAAAATCATCATTGTATTTTGTCTTTATATTACAGGTTTTAATAAGAAGTCTTAAGACATAAGCATGTTATTAAAAAAAATTTTGAAGCAACGCGTTGACCTATGCGTTGATCACTGGTACACGGATTTAACCAATTGTATTCAGCTATATCCTATATCAATTATTACATTTTTGCATCAAATAAATGCAAGCGTATTATATAAAATTTGAGAAATAGAGTTGAAAAGGTTAGCATTAACCTGTATGTAAGGTATGAACACTGCTTAAGCTTTTTTTAAAAAGCATTCTGTGTTATTATCGCTATAAAAGATTATTATATGTATTTTTGTATGCAAATTTACGCTGCATTTTGGTGGTACATCTTAATTGATATGTATTTAGCATATAAAGGAATACGCTTTAATTATTGTGTTATTTCTTGCAAATGAAAATCATTAATATTAAAATTAAATGTAATTTGCTATAGGTGTGGCCAGAGGGTGGGGGACTGGTATTGCTTGCAAATCTAGAAATGGCACGCAGTATTTGCAGGCAATGGCGAACAAACGAATGGATCAGCATCTAAGTCGGTCAAGCATTGAGTGGTGGTTGCTGGCAGATGAAGTAGAAAGGAAACACGACAGGCAGGAAGGAGCAAACTAAACGAGCGCGTCTAAGTAATGAGCGAGACTCGGCATCATCTTCGCTCGGTTTCGGACTTATACGCAGCCGACGAAATAGAGGTGCTTCTTTTGGAAGAAATTCGTGACTTGGAACCGCCACCCTCTGCATATTCTAAACCTGAGGATATTCAAGACTTCGAAATCGGTATAAAAAACATTCATATTCATTATATATTAATAGATACATTTTGGCTTCATATTTATACGTATACTATTACATTGTTTGCATATGGTTATTATACTTTGTTAATAGCAGGTAGTAGAACAGGGGGGCGAATTAGCTCCCAATCATCGGAACTGGATTCACCAGGAATCCATACCACATTCCATTCCTGGGACTCGCACGCAAACTATCATGATCATTATGGCCATAATGACCATAGGCATGGCCCTTCCTCAAATACACTGCCATGGCCACGAACTAGTCATTTGGTTTTTTACTGCGACATACAGGGTCATCTTAAAACAGCTACTGGCGCTGTTCGACTCCTATTACTTGTGAGTACAATTATATAAACAAAGAAATTTTATTATAGTAATATGTTTTAAGATGGTAAATAATGAAAAGTGATACGTGATATCTTTTGTATAAAATTATCTGATATATATATATATATATCTTACAGATATCATCCGCAGCTTGTTTGGTTACTTTATGCAGTTCTGGTACTGCCAAAGTCAGTCTTTTTATGCTGCCTCTGCCCGGACGTTTGAGATTCATGATATTTGTCGCTGTTCTCTGTTTCTTGATAACTGCATTACTTCTTTTTCTTGATATTTCGCACGTTATTTATGTATTTCCTTTCAATTGGTCTAGGCTGGTAAGTTGTGACAAGTAAGCTCTGTTGTTACCAATATTATTGTTTGAAATATTATTGATTTATAAAATGTTATCTTTGCAGAATACATGGGTATTCACTGGTATAGGCTTATCTTACTCATTAAGCAGTGCGCTATTGGCATATTCCATATGGGAATACCATAGCGGAGGTTGGGTACCGCGACGCACACGTTCCCAATTATCTGCCGCTGCAGCACTTGGTCTCTCGTGTGCTGTTTTAGCATTTGTACTTTCTCTAATACAAAGTCGCAGTGGGTCAAATTATGAGACTCAGGATATTCACAATCACACACCAGCGCCACTTTACAAGCCCGTTGACAACTCCTCCTCTTCTGGGGTGAGTAATAGTAAATAAAATGTTCAATATAAATAAGAATAAAAAGCATCAAGATGGAGCATGTTTTATATTAATTTCTGTTTCATAAAATATATTTTATAATGTTACACCCACTATATATATATTTATATATATAGTTCCTTTTTATAATAATTATTTCAAAGATATGTTAATAGACTGTTATTATTATTATTATTATTATTATTATTATTATTCGTAATGTGAAGACAGATATTAAAACAGTTATGCAATTATTATTATTATTATTATTATTATTATTATTTTTATCAATAATATACAAATTAAAATACAGATATATAATTTTCTTTATTATATATTACCTTTTAAATTATTTTTTATTATATACGTTTAATAATAAACAGATTTGTAAAAGGACACTATTATATTAAGGAATAGACAATAGTATGTAGTGTGATATTCTGCTACAACAATGTGTGAGTCGTCTGATAGTATTATAAGAATGTGTATACGTATCAAAAGCACCTTCATTTGGTAGCTGGAAATATACAGGATGTTCCTGAAATGTGTTCTAAATACATAAATATTATTCATTTCCATAACCCAAATAAATAAATAAATAAATGAATAAATAAATAAATAAATAAAAAAAAAAATAAATAAAAAGTAAAAGAAAAAAAAATAAAATTTTATAATGTCATTACAATGATATAAACTTGTAAGACCTTTGTTAAATTTGCAGTACAAAAATAATAACAAATATCAGACTGAAGTAGTGTTATAATGTACGAAGATTATAATTAAAGTCAAGAGTGATTATTTATCCATCTAGCCGATGATGTATCTATTGTGCAGGGATAATTAATAACATGCTTTAAATTTAAGTACAAGGCAAGGAGACATGGTATTTTCTGAGCCCTGTTACATAAAGTTTTTTCGATTATAGAAATATGTAAGGCTATTAGTTGAAGTTGTTAATATTAGATCAACCCGACATTGTAACGAACGAATTTATTTTATTATTTACAGCATGCGTTCAACGCGTTTACGTATAACGCGGGGAAAATTAAGTAAATGTAAACGATGATCGTTAGACCTATTTCTCAAACGCGACTCAAGGAACGAGATCTGGGTTACCCTTTGACTGACTGACCATATGTTACTGCATGATTAACTTCACGAAAAGCACTGCTGCCACTGGTTGTTATAATAAAACCCTCGTACATATTTAATATAACGGTCGTTCCTACGTTCGTTCTACGTGCTGTGAATACTTCTCCACTTTTTGATTGAATTTAGAATAGAAATAATATAATTAATATTTATTGATCGACGATCTATGTTATACATTGATTATATTCAAATATTATATTGTTGTTTTTAAATGTGTATTATTTAGTTATTTATTGTGCACAATGTCGACTAAATTCTACGTTTACACACACGTAAATCGAACGTTATGTAGTTTTCGAACCCACCAAAGTAAACTAAACGCTGTCCATGTAACACGAACACACACGAATACACACACACACATATATACAAATATTTACATAATACACATGATATATCAATCATCATCGCGTATTCATTTCTCGATTAAAATCGCAGAAAGAGCGTTAGTTACTATATTATTAAACTAATTGTATTATTTTTCAACGATGTATCAGTGTAGAATGAATTTAAATTCTGCAAAGAACAAATTTGCAGTAATATCAGAAAAATACAGTTATAGAAGTAATAAAACAATTAGATGATGGAAAAAAAAAAAACTTCAAAGGATGTTGTTGTTGTTGCTTCATTTCTTCACGCCCAAGCATTGTGTATGAATGATTAGAAACGTGATTCGAAAAACATGATTTAATGAAAATTATTAATTATTTATTCACAACCGATACAAAAGAGTTACATATTTGCACCTGTTACTGTCCTGTTAAGTAGTCACCAGCGTTGTGTAGAACCCATTAGCAAAGCCTGTTCTGTTGATGGTGCGAATAGAGCGGTCTGCTGTCATGTCTCATCCAGTGTTACGATACGGCGTAAGAAATTTCTACATTTCCGTCAATTCATGCGGAACCCATCGTGGCATTCGCTTCAGAACTGTTGTCAAGATTCGACAGGCAGTAGGACCGTTCCATTCGCACCATCAACAGAACAGGCTCTGCTAACGGGTTCTACACAATGCTGGTGACTACTTTGAAAGACAGTAACAGGTGCAAACATGTAACTCTTTTGTATAAACAGTTGCCACTATTTAAGTTCCAACCTACGTATATAAAGAAACTCCATTCATTTAATATCCTTGTTCTTTATTTTACAAAATTTGTTTGCAGTCTAGTAAAACGTAATAAACTAATATTGTCGAGTTTTACATAAAATAAATTGAAATTGTGTGTATAAAAATGATATAATGATTACAGTTAAATGATAATTATTTATAAGGACTTGAAAAGATGTTACAATGTACTTATTAATATGCTAGTGGATGAAATTTTCAAATATGATTATTACCTGTTTATCTTCTTTAATGAGTTTATTGTATAAAATTGTAATATTGTGTACAATTTACTCTTAAACGTTTACTAAATGAATAATTATAATCATTAATCACTATTGTTGAAAACTTGTGTATCATTGATGATTAATGGTAAATTTGTCAGAATTTTTATTGCACAAGTGATATACATATTATACTTTCAAATTGTTTTTACGATATTAATATATAAAGTGGTTGTGTGTAATATTTAATTGAGAATGTAATCGCATTAAAAAATGATAATATTACACAGAGACATTTGTTTGACGTATATCAGCAAAACTCTTATGAATGAAACAAATCACTAAATATATATATAATTAACATTAAAGATTATTTATTATTTTAAGTTGACAAAAAAATTGATAATTATTATTATCTTTAGCCTCATTTATACAAAATATTAAACTTGAAATAATACACATTTAGTATATTACACCAATTTTGATAATATAAATTTAGATAGGTCCCTATTACTTAAAAAACAAAAAACAAAGAAATATAAAATTTCTAATCATTTAATATACAATAAAAATAAATAATTATATAGTTTATAGTTAATTAAATTTTATGAATTGTTCAAATTAGAGTATTTAATAAAATTTATTTCATTTTTATAATTATATCTGTAAAAAGATAATACTTAAATGTCCAGTGTACTTGTATTTGTTTCAAGAGCCAAATACATTGAAATTACTTCGAGTTAATATTAAATATATTTTCTTTTGTAGTAAATCAAAAAAACAAACTATTTTTGTAAAGAAAAAAAAAAAAACGAATGAAAATATTTAACCTCTTTTGATCTTTTTTTAAATATCGTATACAATTTATACTATACTTATACTTAGAATAATCACTATATAACTTAATATAGTATAAATGATAAATTATGATATTTATAAGGTCACTCGTCAAAAATTGAATGCTTTAAAGCGTTAATACATTTTAATACACTTTTGTAGTTATTGTGTGACTGCAATATAGATAATAAATGAAAATTATTATTCGAGGTATTATATAAATGTCGAGAAATAATTTTGTTTGAAAAATAAAAATCTATATCAATTTACATGTTTTCCAATGAATATTTGTGAACAAATCAAAATAGAGATGCGAATATATATGTTCGAATATTATAAAATATCTATTCTAGAAAGCGTAACGTGTACGTATATCCTCTAATTTTTTCGACACCTCTGATGGTGTTCTTTCAAGATCACCAGCAATACTTTTCTGTTTGGAAGGTTCAATCGAATTGAATTGTTCACAAAGATCACCGTCTATAACATTTTTCACAGGATAATAATATGATCTGAAAGAAAGATGATCTCTTCCACAGAGCGGTGGATGTTCCGAACGCATGTGCATCTCAAGATGTTGAAAGAAATCATGATCTTCATGACTGGTAAAAGGCACAAGTACTCCTACTGTGCCATTTAATGTCGTGTAAACTAAACTTTCAGATCCACCAGGAATAAGAGTAGCTTTTTGCAAAGACATAACAGTTTCACCAACATGGAAACACGCGACAGTATCAGCTTTTTGACTGGCACCATTTAATAAACCTCTGTCCCACAGTGCTTTATTACCAGTGGGATCTTCATCAACATCATCATTAATGCCACTAGCAAGTCGTATCTATGAACAAAAATATATTATGCTTATTATTATAATATTTGTAATTAAATATAACAATTGTTTATATTAGCTTTATAGAAAATGTTATAATTTACCACTGCAATGTTTCCAAACTTATCAGCAGTTGCCACCGTATCATAATCTAATACACAAGTTGCTGTGATCCATCTTGGGTGCGTATCATCAGCAAAAACGATTAATTGATTTTCCTGTCGTTTATATCTAACAGCATAAACTGATTCTTGTACGTCACTAACATATATGCGTTGTCCGACAGCATTGATGGAAACAACAGCATTTGGAATGTGCTTGTTTTCACATTTGCGTAATAATTTCTTTTTACCCATGTCATAAAGGCGAAGCATTCTTCCAACACCAACTAATACTCTCCCTTGATATGGACAAATTGCTAATGGAACTTCATCCAAGACGGTCTTGTGTAGTAACTCGATACTTTTACAATCCGAATTAACTCTGAAAAAATATACACTTTTTAACAATATATCACACGATATAAGATAATAGCAAAAAATGTATTATAATTGTATATCAGAACTGCAGGAATATCATCAAAAAATACAGATAGTGTATTTATCATCATATGTATATATATATAGAAGCAAAAATAGAATAATAAAAAGAGGTTACACACTAACTTGTAAGTATAAAGAAAGCCTCCATTGCTGACTCTTGGATTAAGTTGAAATTCTTTTGCAACTCCGACTATGAGGAACATTTGATCACCTTGATTACTAAATTTAACCAAACCTAAACTGTAACCAAAAAAAAAAAAATAGTAATACATATTAAACACACACACACGCTTCTTTGATATATTTAATAATAAATTGAAATATAATAAAGTTACCATAATGCGGCCAAATTTTGTTCTAATCTATGAACTTCGAAGGTATGTCCAGATGTAGGTGCTATAATTCTTACAAGTGATGCCCAAAGACCAGGTCCAGCTCTTGGTGCACCAAACACAGTTTCATTAGGTTCTTCCGATAAAAATGCTTCTGCCAATTCTCTAGCAACTGCAGCTTCCTCGGCACCTGCTGCTTCTTGCATTTCTTCTGCCATTTGTAACCTTCTTTGTTGTTTAGTTTCTTCTGTGTACGCATTGTGTTCAGTCTCTATGATTGCTATATGCGCAGAATTCACATGAATAGCAAATTTCCTTGGAGTATATTCTAATGGAAAACTGACTTGATTGAATACTGCTCCTAATTTTTCTAGAGCCAAAATTCTAAGTGTATTTGTTGATATAGCAACGATGCCCTCTGGACATTGTTCAGAACTGAAGCCAGAGGCAAATTCTAAACTTTCGTAAGATAAAGGCGTCAAATGAAAACGATTTTGATAATAATAGCTAAGCCATGATCTGCTACTCATAGCTAACACTGCCTGATTACCCTGCATTTTAATTCTAAATAGTTTTACAGGTCGTGATCCTAAATATCGAGTACGCGTATCCGCAAGATCTCCAGAAATAGGATCTAATACGGTCCTTAATAAAACACCATTTTGCAAACCTAAAGAAAGACATTAATATTATAATTTTGTATTACTTGAATTGCTTAAATAATCATGTTTTTTTTTTTTTTTTTATTATAAAAATACTTTTCATTTTAATACCTATATTTAAATACAGGCTAAATTGTTGTTGTGGTGCTGCATCTTCAGAATTATCAGTTTCTTTAACACCCATTTCTACGATACATAAACTTTCAGCTGCTGCAGGTAGAGCTTGCATACTTCTAGGTGCTAAACAATCTGATGGATCCAATGAAATAATTCTTACAGTATTGTCTTGAAGACCAACAGCTAAAAACCATGAACGTTGTTCTCCAACAGCCACATTTCCAAGCGCCATACACATTACTTCTGATGGCATCTTCTTCCTTTCTGTATATTCATTAAGTTGTCCAGTCTAAAAAATTGATAAATATCACAATAAACACATTTATACTTTTATGCAAATGAAAGAAATGTCCACTTTCCTACAAGTCTACATCGAATATACGATAATAGTGTTTCATAGAAAAGTGATTTAATTTCCGCACTGTGTACATCTCTGACGTTTTCTAAAACCATTCAAAGAGAACAATGGAGGTGCGGTAATAATATGAACATATTATAATTATTATTAAGAAAGTATTGAATACATACAGGATCCATTTCAAAGTAGACCAATTCTCCACCAGTAAGGGCAATTACCACTTGGCGTTGATTCACTGCACATTTCACGATCGTTTTCTTACCCGGTGCTTTCCATTCATTGACACGTTTATCGGCTCTAATATGACGAATACCATCCGGATATACCTACAAGAAATACCACAATTCTTCTACTTATTTATGAATATGAATATATGAGATATATTAATTTATAATTTTGTTCAAACATTGATGTTTTTGTTGGACAGTTAATACCAAGAACATTCAGTAGTCTCTAAATGTTCCAACAATGCCGTTAGCCCTAATTTTAATCTCGCACCAGAAAAAAGACGACCGGCACGTGGTGAACCAGGTGCCGGAGATACCTTAGTGCAATTTAACAAATATTTACAACAACAACACTACTATAATATGAAAAATATTTACCTGTACTAAAGCATCTTCTCCCAAAGCAGAACAACTGAGTGTAGGAGTAGTGCCAAGAAAGCCCGAATCTGTCACTTCTTCAACAGTTTCTCCGATACTAAGCACAAGAGTAGCATTGACGAAGGACACTATGATGTATGCATCATATTCCTCTGCAATCAAAATCAAAAAGATTATCTAGATTATGAAATAAAATTATGTTACTGAATGAATATTGAAGCGATTAATATCTTCAATCGTGGTTGTGCACGCTCTTCTTTATGGCACACAAAGAGTGGATGGGCTATTGGAGCAAATCAACTCTCATCCGTGCCAGTTTCTAAGCCCTTACCTTTTGGTCATTCTGTGTTCTGTGGCTCAACCATTAGCGTGCAGGCAGCCTGTAAGAGAGAACTGGTGTTTGATAAGAGTGTATCAAGACACCAGGTTTATTAATATCGTTTACTTAAATTTTCTTTTAGTATTTACTTTTATTAACATTTTATCAAATTGGTAATATACTAACGTTGAGACATCTGTCATTTATCTTTGTTCAAATAAGTTATTAACCCTTTCGCTTCGCTTCGAAGAGCGTATATATGCGTTCCCGAGAAGAACAATTTTATCTCAATAGCACCTGAGCGAAAGGGTTAATTTCTCATGATTCTATGCAAAATAATAGTAATAGAAATATTTCTATAATCATTCCAGTTATGATATCTACCTATATACAATTATTTTATATCACAGGTATACAGATAATAAAAATAAAGAATATAGAATTTGCAATTGATCTTAATTTTTACATAATTATAAATTGAAAAGATTAATCCTCTGTATAAATGAAGAAATCATAACTGAAAATATTAAAAAAAAAAAAATAAAAAAAAATAAAATAAAATGTGTCTAAATTTGAAAAGTGAAAATATCATTGTAAAGATCTAATTCATTGATAGATAAGCAATAAATTAGCAACATGCAAAGAAATCGTAAATCAATTTATTCATAGACTGACCATCGACTCTTCTTTTAACAGTCCACACCGCATTTGGATTGCCAGGAAGTTCACTGACTGCCATTTCTGATACTTCCAAACCATGACGCAATACACGAAAAGTAGATCGCGGTCCTCTGCCACATGATATGAACAATTGTGGAGTGTCTTCATTAGCTAAATCAGCAACCTGAGAAAATAATCATTCTATATATAATTAATCGAAATTATTATCAAAAGTATTAATAAATGTTTGTCATTCTTAGAGTTCACTTCAATTTGCAAATACAAATTAAAGGCGACTAAGAATAATTTTGATTTTGCACCATTCCACATAGAAGAGACAATTTATTATGACACTTCTATACTTAAAGGTGCATGTATAAATAATAGAAGAAATTATTAATATTAACCTGGCAAGCCATAATAGGTGATAAACTGTCCATTTCATCAACTAATACTAAATTACGAAGTGGTCTGGGTGCGAAGAAAAATGTATCTCCTTCTTCTAAAGGCATCGCAGAACTAAATTCTGGTTCATCATCGTCATCTCCAAGATGAGCAATTTGATAAAGATAACTAAAAAGGATATATTTCTTATTATAATATTCATTATAAATGTTAGTTTTCAAAATCTACGAACATAGCAAAGTTACTACTTACTGATTTCCAAATTCAGATGCAACAAATAAGAATCCTGTTTTTAATACGCACATGCTTGTTGCTACAGGTACAGTATCAAAATATTTTAATTTTATTTCAGTAACCATATCTTCATCAGTTTCCAAAGTAATTTTGAAGATATCTCCTTGTTCAGTTTGTGCCAAAAAGAAGAACATACTTTTGGTTTTATGTGTAGCAGAACATACAAATATCATGCCTCTTTCTGGATCATCGAGATCATTTCTTCTTCTTGGTATAGGACAACGAATATCATGCTGATCACCTAAATTCTTATAAGTTAAATAATTCTCGGAACAAATGAGGACACCACTGGGTCCATCATTACCACCTGGGACAGACACTAAAAAATTAGCATGTTCTTCTAATGGTTCACTGTATTTACGAACAACATGATTCAATCCAAGATCAAGTTCATATAAAGTTAATGTTTGTTGTGTTTTAACAGCTGCATCTCCTGTAGGATCACTGTCTGCTTCCTATAAATAAATGAGATTATAAAATCAAATTATATTTAAATATTTAACCATTTTTACTGTGATGTGAATTATTTTTTTTTTTTTTTTAAATAATACATATACATACCTCGTAATCAATTTCTAAACAAGCAAACATAGGATTTTCAAAACCAACATCTACACCAACTGTATGATATACTAACGTATTACTTTTATGTGCTTCTAAAGGAGAAGAAATGGTGAGACGGGCTTCAGGATCTCTGTTTAAAATATATACAAGCTTTTGTTTTTCAATGGCACCTACAAAATTAATAACAAATTAGTTTCTCCTAATATATAACTTTAGACAAAAAAAATTTGAAATGGAAAGTACTATCATAAAGAATGTTGTAATCAATGTGATTCAGGTGAAACACGGATAATTAGTGTAATCATTTGTATACAATATAATATACGTATAATAGTTTAAATTGAGAATATTGATATTATAATATAATACCTATCATAACAGCTCTGCCTTTTGGATCTATCGCTAAATACTGTCCAGGAACAATTCGTCTACAACCACTTTTGCCAAATGTTTCTTGATGTACTTTCTCAAAAATATTTTTAGCAGCAATATATTCTAAAATAACAATGCGTCCTGAATCAGAACCTATAACTATGTAATCTTTTGTTCCGCCTGTAAGCCTAAATGCCATTAATGATCTTATAATTCCAAAAACTTCAACAGTTAGTAATGTATGAACTTTTCCAGTGTTGGGATCTGGTCTTAAAAGTTCTAAAGATTTTCCACGTGAAACGAGAATTTCTTGCATTTTGCTTCCAGAAAAGTTACCGTGCACGGCATGGGTAATGCCTGTAGCACGTTGTAATGTTAGGTTGTAGAGAAACATTGTTCCGGTTAGTTTCTATTAAGGTATGAGTTCAAACAATGCAAATTTTCTTAAATTTACAAAGAACCATATCAGCTTCCCACCCTGAAATTATAAAACTGAATGAAACATATTATATATGATACAAAATTAAATAGTAATTAACAAAACGTTGTAGTCTATGCATTTATTTAATGTTTTATAAAATAAACAAAAAATCTCAATATTTTTAACATTTAACTACTAATATTGAATATTTTCAAATTTTCTATAGAAATAATAAAAATATATTGTATATATTTAACTTAGAATACTATTATATTCGATTTACATTTGTATCAATATATCACACACATATATTTCTGAAATAATTTCTAAAAAGTAACATACAGAGTAAATATAAAATAGTATATATATAATATAATATATAAATAATTAAAATTTTACCTCTTATATGAAAATATACCGAAGGCATTTGTCGATGCTGCAAGATCTTTGAATCTTATTCGTTCAATACCATATTACTTCTTCACAAGCCGTAACGGAAATAGAGTTATACGGACGATTTTTAGACTCAACGTAGCATCAGACGCTTTTCTCCGTAGTGCCCTCTAGTTAACTAAAATTATGATTATTTGTTCAAACATTTTTAATATTAATTGGAGTATTGTTTAATATAGTAATTATGATTTTTTCCAAATTTACCAAATTTACACTCAAGTTTCTAATATTAATATATTTATATTTATATATTAAGCTATTATTTTTTACGGAATTTTATAACAAAAGCTTACGTAGTAGTACTGTGATTGGTGGATTTTATTGCAACGTATCTATTAGTATATACCTATTACTACAAAAATAGTAGATGGCGCTATAGATAGTGTTTTTTTAGGGACCCTCTAGGAGTGACGCGCCAAAGAATTTTGGGGGACAGGAACTTATGTAGTCACGTGATTGCGCGCGAATGAATCAAACATTTTAAATAGTATAAAAGTTGTATATAGTAATAGTGTATAGTGTAAGGGGTAGAGTGGTGAATTGGTTTAAAAAAATTATAAAATAATGAATTGCATCAAATATAGAAAAAAAAGAACCATATTTAATGATAATTAAAAAATTTATATTAAAATAGAATAGGTTACACAACAAAATTATTATAAATTTAAAAAGAAAGATTCAATTAAGTTTGACTTGATAAAAGGCATTACAGTATTTAGAAATTTCAAAACAACTTGTAGGAATTTATACAATTTTGATAAATATAATTATCTACTATATATATATTATATTTATAATTATTTTAATCATTCGTACAATTTGTTTTTAATTTCCAATATTAATAAATCAGCCAGGATTCCTGGGTATTATATCTTCATAACTAACCACAGCTGTTATTTATACATACTAAAGATAAATATGGCTGCGCGTTGTATCGGAAGCTGTCCCCCAAAATTTTCAGCCAATAACAACCTCAGCAATATGTATGGCGCGTTCCTCCTACAGGGTTGCTATGTTTTTTTATATTTTCTCTCTCCCTTTCTTTTTATGAAGCTTATATATATATATATAAGCTGTATATATTATATATATACATATATGAGTGTGTGTGTAGAGTTAAAGCGTGAAATCCGCTAATTCATAAAATAACTCACATTGTATAAAGAACTGATCTTAAATAGTATCATTGCTAATTATTAATCTTCAAATGCAGTTAATTTAACAATGATAAAATATGTTTGAAATAATCAAAGAAAAATCTTCATTTTTTTGTTTATAAAGTAAATGTAAATAATTTATCTTTCTCTATTTCAAAATGTCGATAATGTTATATACGTTACTGAAGACCAAGTCATAAGATGATTTATTATTTTGTTTTTTTATTTTTTTACTAATCTTTTGAACTGTTTACAATATTAATTATTGAAAGAATATTAGAACATCGTGTAACAATGTTGGTTATAACAAAATAATTTTTAACAGAGATTTGTAGTACTTAAAAACTTAAAAATAAGGCATACATAAATATTATACACATATTCACTATCTTTTCCATACATGAATTGCGAAGGACCCTCTGTTATCTTGTGCACATAATTATACATACATATATATATATATATATATATAGTACCTTTCTGACAAAAGACTATCATAATGAGAATGAATAAATTTATGTATATATTTATTAAACTAAAGACATTTTGTGCAGTTGTAGGTAAATGAATAAACATATCCAAAGAAATTTGGATGTATATACCACAAAATGTACACGTATGTCTTCAATTAGAATTGTTAATGCAAATTATGGAATGTCTCATGGAGTTTTTAAATATATTAAACATTATAAATGCAAGAGAGATAGTCATAAATTTTCACTTATTATCATTTTTCTTATACAACCTCAAATAGATTCGTAAAGGCTCACCAAAATCTCTAAGGTTGCTAGTTTCATTAAAACATAGCACATTGCTGTTACAGAGTATTTTTTATGTCACTAGACAATAAATTTTCATTTAAGTGAATGTGATATTGATCAAGGGTCGGTGCTCCTATTGCAAGAAAATAATTATAAAGAGCGCAATTGTTGTTACAAACATTGGTGATTCATTATATTTTTCTTTAGTGATGAATGATCACACAATGAGATAGTTTAATTATATTGTTCTGGTAAAACGTAGGAAATATCATCCCATGGATGGCGATAAAGTCCTTGTTTCAATCTCTTCTGATCCATGTAATGGCCTAGAATTTGTTATATAATTAAATAATTGTTCATATTATGAATTTTACTTATATCATAATAAAGAATTATTAACATTACCTATAAAACCTATACTTCTGCCAAGTACAAAGAGACTGTTTATAGCTCCAATTTCGATGTATTCTTCCGCTTCTTCTGTCGTGAAACTTCCACTGTTTCTTAACATGTCAACAAACGCACATGCTATGATACCATCGACATTAAGAATTAAATTAGGCTTTTTACTCGTAGTTATTTTTTCAACTTCTAATGCATATTCAACTAATGGTTTAGCTGGGAAGTTCTCCAAAACAAATTCTTTGATGAGCTTAACCCGCATATCTGGATTGTTTATAGATTTTATACGATGTCCAATACCCATTATTAGTTTGCCTTTTTTACGAGTATTATTTACAAATTCTTGAGGATGCAAACCAGCATCATAGGCTTCGGAGAACATTCGAGCAGCTCCATCCAGAGCTCCACCAAAACGATCACCCTGTTTTATTTAATACAATTTCTTATAAAAGATAATTATATTGTTTTATTAGTAATTATTGTTGTTATTACTTACTATAGTGAGGAGGCCAGAAACAAGAGAACTAACTAAATCTTTGCCTGCTCTGGCACATACAATAGTATTATGAGCACCTGAGACTGCTGGTCCATGATCCGCAGTTAACATGAGCGACATTTCCAAAAATTTACAATAAGTAATAGGTAAACAACGTTGGAACCACAAAAGGGAAACAACACCACCGATTCCCACATTTTGTTTCAAAACTTCTGTGACGGGCATTCCAGCATATAAAAGTTCATGACCACGTTCATCACAAATGGATGTCATAAATGATGCTGGTTTTCGAATTAAACCAAGTTCCTACATTAATAAAAAATTCAGTAAAAAAGATCAATAACAAATATTATATTATTTGACTTTTCATATTGCAACATTAAAAATGTTACCCTAGCCCAATTGTAATCCATAGGTACTGTCGGTGGTGGAACCTCTGGCGCTGGAACGATCGTTCCATTTTTAACGAGTTTTTGATAAACAGTTTGAATAAGATCACCAAGATTATCAAAACCATCAGGAACGTAAGCACCAGCTTCCTTCAAAGCTGCATTTTTAGCCGATGCTGTTTCTACATTACTGTTGGCAATGGAACCGGCATGTCCGAATTGTACTTCAGAAGTAAACATACTCGCACAAGTGCCGATACACCAAGCGATCAACGGTTTAGTGATTTTTTTAGATTTAATAGCTTCGCATACTTCATATTCTTCGATGCCACCTACTTCACCGAGTAGTACAATGAGCTTAACATCGGGATTACTTTGATAACGCATGATATGATCCATGAATGTGGTGCCTGGATATCGATCACCTCCAATAGCAACACCCTCCAATACACCGTTGGATGCTTTGGAAATGATGTTGTTTAATTCATTGGACATACCGCCAGAACGGGAAACGTATGCAACACTAAAAATGATTGTTTCAATAATATTTTGATAAACACATAATTGTACATTAAATTGATATATTAATATTTGAAATTACCTTCCAGGTCTGTACAATTTACTATGAAGAATATTATCTGTCATACCGCCGGTATTACCGATTTTGAAACAACCTGGTTTAACACCACCGACTGTAGCCGGCCCAATAATTGTCACATTTTTTCGTTGTGCTAATAAAATTATTTTCCTAGTCATATTTTCAGGTATGCCTTCAGCAATAATTGCTATTGTTCTAATTTGTGGAAATTGTAATGTCTCAACTGTACTATCGTATGCAGATCTTAATGAGGCAAATGTTATCATGACGTCAGCGTCGTTATGTTTCGTCATCGCATCTTTCATTTGTTTGTACACAGGTATGAGAACCTGGTAGGAAGAAAGGAAAAATATTTTTAAATGAATAACGATTGTCCCAAAATAGCTTTAAGTAGTTCGTAAAACTTACTTCTTTATGACCCCAATAAAACTTTTGTTTGTGGTCTCCTGTAAATGGATATACCATAGCAGCTACGGATGGCTCTGATCTTCGACAAACAAAGTCGAAATCTAACATAGTTTGGACGGCTCTGGTTTGCATTCCCCAAATAATAGCTCTAGTTTTATTATTAAATAATTGTTTTGGTTTTAAACCGTCTACAGTGTCGCTTATATTTAATTTGATCTGTTCCGTGACAGGCGTAGATGTAGTACTTTTTGGAGGAGCAGAAGGTCCAACATCTTGACCCGAAGGTAACAAGAAATTTGCAGTTGAAAATTCTTGTGCTTCTGGATCAGGAATTGGTTTTTTCCCTAAAGCCATAGCACATATAGCTGTCATATGTGTTTCCGGACCAAATACATGAACTGGAATACCCAAACGTCTTCCAACTTCGCGTATAATTCTACAAAATAAGTACATAACATATTTTTAATAATGATCATTCGAATAATCGAAGCAAGTTAGAACAAGCGATCATATAACAAATAGATATATTTATATATCTACCTTAAGCCTTCTTGATAATTAGGCCCTGCTCTTCTGACAAATATTTTTATATTATGTTCCACGAGTTTAGGCTGATATCCTTGAAGTGCTGATACGATTCCTTTAAACGTTGCTGCTACATTCGTAAAATTAGCAATTCCTCCACCGATGATTAACACTTTTCCTTCTGGACGTTTTTCTTTTGTCATTAGACTCAAAATAGTTTTGGCATATTCGTACGTTTGTTGTTCAGTAGGTGCACCCGAATATTCACCGTAATTTGCCAATTCATCGGCCGCACCCAAATCACAAATCGTATCAGAATATATGACAGAAGCGCCTAAAAGATTTGAAATCTCAGTATAGTTTCACCA